GTGAATGGCAAAAATGGAAGAATATAGAAGCCAGAGGAACTAGGACTGACTTTTGACCGTCAGATCGAAGTCTATCATCCAAGGGAAGATGCAAAAGATCGGGTCTCATGACGCCCAATTTACTCCACCCAACATTTAATTAGCACAACCATAATGTGTCTAGACTTGACTAGGTCGATCAAAATTTACAATTCCTTTGATATGATTGGTCGTCACAACCAGGATATAACTTAAACACCGTAAGTCAGACTAAGGTGACGACGTGATTCCGTACCATAAATTAATGCTCAATTGATCTATGATACTGTTCTCTGTATTGTCTATTTATCAATATTGTTTTGTAGTTCCTTAATGGAGGCGACCGAATATGTATTTACGTATGAGTCAGCATCCGTGAAGCTGGTTAGCGAGACTATAGTTCGGTAAAAAAATAAATAAAAGATGAAGCAGCAATCGAAAGCTAGAGGCGGGTAAAATTCAAATTCTACGACGGTTAACGTAGGTTATTGTTTTGTGAAAACTGTAAAAAAAAATGTTTCTGACATCCCTGAACAATCAAGACTTCGATCGATTCGATGTGACAACACAGACTCATCAATATTTGATTAGTGTCCGATTTCTCCGCTAGTGCCTAGACGTAATTACCACTGAATATATTTCAGCCAATAATGTACTCGGCGATACACGTATTGTTAAAATAAATATGAAGGGAACACATAACTATTGGCAAATCGTGCGATCCGGTCAGTGGCCATCATCGCCCGATTTCACATCGTGAAACTCATTACTGCATTCTTTCCTACTGAATCCTATTAATTGTAAAGTTCAGATATTTTTTTAGAACCTTCAGGTGAAGATGAGTAGACATTACTTATTTGATCAATTTTGGCTCAGTCCCTGGTGCCCAAGGTTGATAACTATGTATTTATAAAATTGGATATAAAGCTAAGTTATGTACGAAAAGAGTAGGGAACATCGAAAACGAAAATAGAATGCTGAAGGAACATGCTCCGTGGTGCTCGGTCCTATCTGCCAACACTTTCAAAGGATCCGACATGATGATATGTGGCTGGTTCAACACTCAAGGGGATATCTTTATCCCGCCATAAATTTGTCTTTAGATAACTATGGCGAATGGTGCGCAAACAAAGTTGCAGGTTGAACTCTGTCAACACCAGTTGATTAGGTTTTGGCCAACAACCACTCTATACCTAACCTAGCCAATTGGTACAAACTAACATTGACACAAAGCTTAGCAGGCCAAACCTGGAAATAATAATGACCAATAGAGATGAAAGAAACATATTCATGTAATATGCATGTATAATAATCGAAAAGGTAGCGAAAAAGAATAAAGATTAGATTACATTACAACCAGTATAAACTGTGATATTAGAATTAGAATAAGATGTATAAGAGTAGCTCGGTGGTGTAGTGGATAAGAGCCGAGGCCCGCAACCGTTGTCGTTAAGCAACTTTCGCAAGGGTCGGTCACGGGATGGGTGACCAAAAAATTATTATCTCGAGCTACTCCGTGCTTCGGAAGGCACGTTAAGCCGTTGGTCCCGGCTGCATTTGCAGTCGTTAATACCCTCCAATCCGCATTGGGCCAGTGTGGAGGGTCATGGCCCATTCTCCTTAAGCATCCATAAGGAAGGCCTGAGCCCCTGCAGTGGGGACGTAAAAGGGCTGGTGATGATGATGATGTATACAAACTGTGATAGAAATAGATAATAGATTAGAAAATATATGCATGAAAATGTAAATAGATATAATTAAGAAAACATAAAAACAAATTTAAGATAGGATAAATTGTAGAAATCAAATATATAAACAGATCTAAGACAAAAATGTAAAACAATAATAGTATAAAGAAAATAATGTACTTAAATAGAATAAGAACTAAAAAAAAGAGGGGAAAAGAATATTCCCCAAGAATAGGTAAACTATACCTATCAAAAGAAAAAAGAAACATGCACAAAAAACTAAAAAGCAAAAAAGCTAGCCTGCTAAACAGTGGGGAAACCTGAATTAAAAAAAGGAACCTAGCCAATTGGGCTTTCTTTTGATAACGTAGGGGAATGCACCTTGACCCTTAAACCAGGGCACTCCAACCCTACACTTGTTCTGAAAAGGACAGGCTTAAGCGAGGCCGGCCTACATGTTAAACCTGCAGCGAGTACTCTCCAGGGCAGGAAGGACCCGTGATCCAGCAATTAGCCCGCCAGGTGCTCCCCATATCTAACCTAGCCATTGCCTACAAATGCACAATTAGGATTAAGATATAAATATGCATGATGAATGAATGTGGCCAAATCAAAAGGCCATAATACTTTACATAATACTTTGACTAGACAATTTATAAGTATATGTGAATAAAAATATTTTTCACTTAGGCTTGAAATATACACTGATTAAGCTTGAAATAAATTAATTAAAAATAAGGAGTTGCTAAATACTTCATTTATAATTTTTTGGTTTCAAGCAGCAGTTAATAACAATGCATTAACTAAACATATGCATATGATTTAGAACTTTAAATATAATTCACTATCTTGAGTTTTTAAGTTTTGCATAAGGGACGGAATAAAAAATAAATTGGAAATTATATCAAGTTATAACTAATTTTCTTTTTTTAAATTTTCTAGTTTATAAAATATTTATATATATATATATATAAACATTTTCATTAATTTAAGAGATGTGTACCTAAATTACATTGTCAAATATACAATATGCTTGTTATGCAACTTTTGCAATATCCTATCAACAAATGTCTTCCTTTGTAGCCTTAGTCTGCATTTTCATTGGATGATTGGTACCTTGTTATTTAATTATTGCAATAGTTAAAAAAAAGGACTAGTGATGCACCAAACACAAACATTGATATTCCCTGAAAAGTGGCTAGTACTGAATATTTATATTCAAGAAACATCATAATAAATATTACATTGTGACTGCAGATGGCAAATAAAGAGTTTAGACAAATTAATTGATGATTGCCTTTCTAACATTTATGTTAATGTTGTACCAAAAATATTAAAGTAGACAATTTTATTGATGAAATCTATTAGTACAACCAAGTGGGCAATTTATAACCTTGTTATAATATTTGTATTCTCTGCATAGCACATTTGATATTTGCAAGCATTAAAAAAGAAATCATTGCATCACTATTCAAAACCATTTAGATGTTTTTATTTCCAGTTTCTGCAGATTGTAAAATAACTTTGATGAGATTCAATTTTAAATCTCATAATTGTCAAAAATAGATAGAATAAAGAAACAGAATAAATTGGTAGTATTTAAAATACTACAGTGAGTCTGACACACAACATACCAAATAATTAATTTTATTCATAACTTTTTTCATTAATTATAAATAATTGATTATAGTTTGTCCTTTTTGTAATATTAGGAATTGTGCCTTCTGTCAAAACTGTGCAAAAATTGGAGCTTTAATAAAGAAACTAAGATTCTTAATATTCAATTATTTCAATTGGTAAACTAATAAAAAAGTCATAATTGTAATAGATAAAATTATGTAAATTCAGATGTGATTTATGTTCTGCTGAACTAGAATGCTTGTTGCTAACTTGAAAAACCAAAGCACATACAGAAAAGATGTCAAGGCTAAGTTTACATCTTATGGAAAGGATTGGCCAATGGCAACCATGTTGCATCACACTAATTTGATGCATTTCATAACATATACTTAAAATTTTGTTACATTTAAATATAACACTAATTCTTTATTTATCATCAATTTATTATAGCCTTATTTTATTCCATAATTTAGAAATATAAATTTATTGTTTCTCTATATTTTTAATGAGAAATACCCAGCGGTAATTATAGTTCAAATTCGTTAATCAACTTATTAATTAATATATAACTTAAGAACTTTCAGGGACTATTAATAATCTGTTTGACATATAAAAATTAAGTTATTAAAGAACTTAAATGGTTTAAGTTTTGATGAAACAACAGTAGCTATTTTAGTTAGCTGTTATAGATTAAACTTACCACATGATGAAGGTTTAGAAGCTTGACAGAATATACAATACCTCACAGCACATTTAGTAATTGTATCATTCCCAGTGAAAAAACACTCTTCTGATACTACACTCTTTGTTGAATGTCACTTCCTATAATTCACTATCCTGTTTTGCTATTCTCTCATCCTATTTCAGATATTTATCAGATTCATTTGTGGATAACTTTGGGTAAGTTCCCATTCCTAAAGTAAACTGCTTCTTAAATGAAATACATATTTTCTTTGTTCACAAAACATACTGCTGTCTCTGGTAGTATTCAACAATAATGTAGTGGAAACATGGGTTTTCACTACATTATAACAAACTCAACACTGCACAGCAATCACCACTTTGACCACTCAACAAAGCACCCACTTCAACTCACTTTAAGAACAAAGAACCACAGTGCACCCACAGGTTATATGATATTTTCAGTAAAGTAAGGCTCGAGAGCTGATGGTTTCCGTCGGGAGCTGCCTCTAATAGGTTCAGCAAGGTCAGTGGGCGAGGTCGCAGACGAGAAGCCGCAGCTGACGACTGACCTTCCATGAGCTAAGGCGGGTGTCAGCGGTGGCGAACAAAGACTCGGCGCGGCGGCCGCCCTCCGCCGCAGCAGCCCAGCAGCCAGCTGCCCGGCCGCAGACGACAGCCCACCCGCCGTCGAGAGGTCGCAGACAAAAAAATCGATAGGTCGTCAACCTCCGCCGGCGGTCGGCTGGAGCCGGTCCCGGGCGCGCTGTCGCGCCGCCGCCTGCTCTCCGAGGGCTCGGCCCGCGTGTGGAGCCCTCGAAGGCCTCACCGCCGGACGTAAAGCGAAGCCCGCTTCGCCATTTTGAAACGGGAACAATGAGATATTCACTTTTGAAAGCCGGAACGTCGCGGGATATCGTTCACGACTTTCTCTGACCACGGGGCGAAACGCACCGCATTAGGGACGCTCACTCGTTGTAAATTAATACGTACTCTGACTAGAAATCCCCTCGTCTCCGCTGCCGATATCCGACATCTCAATCCACACCGAATTCTACAGGCGATCCGCCGATCTTTTTACAGACAGACTCGACAACTGGAATTGCCTATGGTTGAAAAGACATCAAACTTAGGTTCTTTATGGTATACACGAAAGCTGTCAATAATACGTTACATTAACTATTCGAAAATAAAAATTATAAAACCTTTTAAGTAGATATATAAAAAGATATTTTTTTTTTATATCTTGTTATATACATAGTTAAAATTACAATGACAAACAAGTATTACTTTGTGAACATGTAGATAGATAAAGAGTTTACCTCATAAACCACTCATTTAACTTTTTAACTACTCTACTTTGTCTATGACATTCTTTGTCAAATAAAGAAATACCACTAAAACTCGAACAATAAGAACTTGATCCTAGCTTAAACTAGATGAATACCTATTCAAATTAGTGATGCCTCAAAAGAAACATCTACATTACCTACATTATAATAGTTTAGACATCAGAATAGTTATTATTATAATTTAATTATTATTCTGTTTAGATGGCCACTCTCGTAAAAATTGATTTTTGCAGGAAACGAATGGACCAAAAACAGTCATTTCCAAAAACTGAAATATGAAAAGTTCGAAACTTAGATATCAATACAAATACGAAAAAGTACAAATAGAATACGATTTAAGCACGTTACAAACTGTTCTTAAACGCTACTTAAGCAGGTTATTGTTTCTGATGTTAGTTTTTTTTTTTTATTATCAGTTCATAACAGTTTGATAAAACTAAGACTTTTTGCGTTGATAAACGTAAAAAACTTAGTTATTGAGATTCACTTGAAATCACTTGAAATTTTGTACTTTTCTTAATTTACAAATCGACTTATCTCTTGTCAATCTATAGGGCGGGGCCCAAGAAGTTTATTTGATTTGTTCTGAGGATTTATGGAGCCAATAATCGGGGGCGGGGGAGACACTTCTATACAAATGACAGATGTCATTTTTACTAGCACCATCGTAAGAATTAAGCCATAAATAATAGGTAATATTGGTCCTAAGTGAATATCTTCATGTCAATATATATTTTTATAATGAGGAAGTATTTAAAAAAAAACAAATGTATTAAAAAAGCACCTCCACTAGATGGCGACTCTAGCAAAAGTTGATTTTTGTAGGAAACGAATGAACCAAAGCCAGTCTTTTCCGTTCCTTTTAACTATCATATTTAAAAACTAAAATTTGAAATGTTTGAAACTTAGACATCAATACAAATACGAAAAAGTTCAAATAGAATATGAATTGTTTATTAAAATTTGAAAACGAAATTACTATCGAACGAATATACAAAACCGGAAGGGTTGTCATGGTGAAATCAAGAACATACCATAGCGACATCTAGTTTGATTTCGGGAACTAAACTTTTTTCTTAAATACTTCTGGTTTCTCTCATGTATAAAAGTAAATTAATTTCCAAAACTCAATTAACAACTCACATTCTATTTGTACTTTTCGTATTTGTATTGATATCTTGGTTACTTTTGGTAAAGTCGCCATCTAGTGAAGTGCTTTTTTTTCTTAAAATACTTCCTCATTGTTTTTTATGATACTGTTGTGATACCTTCGTTGTCTCAGATACTCCATAGTACGGGGGCTTTAGCTACTCATCTTGGAATCTGAGCAATGTATGTGATGTTGTTAAATATTTATTATAATTTTATTATTTATTCATTTTTATTCAATACTTACGATGGCGCTAACGAATAATGTCATCGTGTTAAGCGGGATGTTTGAAATAAAATTGAAAAAAATATTCCTTCAAAAAGCCCTTTTTAGCGCATTAATTTAATTTTTATTCCTATCTTTACGTATATGTAAAGAAAATTTGTAGATGGAAAAGACTTCACTACCGGTTAAAATTAGCCTGACAGAGTATGCAGCGGCAATAACACCACATTTTATTTACTTTAATTAAAGATATTTTTAAACACAACTGATACGATGCATTCAGCAGAGTCAGGCGACTCCCGTGGCAGACCGTCACCACCATGTTCGTTCATGACCACCATGATCTGCATCACTATATCCAACAATGTCTTTTGTTGTTTGCGTTCTTGTGTGATACTTAATACCATAGTTCACAGTGCTTTTTAATATCTGTAGATGAATATCGTCTCGACCGTTTTTCCAGCATTTTCTACACACAACTCTAACTACTCTTGCTATTTCCTCATCGCTTGCAGCCACTGATCCATCGTGTACATACAGCGTTAGCGAGACTTGTCTTATCAGCTTGTTTAAGTCCCATAACAGTGAGTATTTCTGCAAAGCAAACATTCCAGCATCTTGGTGCTTGCTTGAAACCATAGGGCCTGTGTTGACCTCGCAAACAAGGCCCAAGCCATCGTCAATTCACTCCGTCAACGTCTCTGGAAATTTGTAGTAGAACCTTCGCCCGCGTGGTCTTGTATTATACATAAAAACCTTCCTTTTGAATCTCCCTATCTACGAAAAAAAAACCGCATCAAAATCCGTATAAAATAGGGATTATGCGGGACAAAAGTTGATACATTCATCTTTCGTCTCTGAAAAATATTGATGATTAACAAGCAATTAATGAAATTAATTAATGATTTTATCGATTTAAATAATTAGACGGGACATTCCTTCTTTTTCGGGACTCTGGACATCCTCCGAAAAGACGAGATACCAGAACTGTTTTACGTGCGCACACTGCGTGTGTGCGTGCGTACAGTGCGTGTATGTGCGTGCGTATTGTGCGTATGTGCAAGTGTGTGTATATGGGAGCTACGTAAATTAAGAAATAAAAAACTGAATAGAAGAACACAAAAGTTGCTTGTGGTAGCGCTTGGAATCATCGGGGTATTACTGTTGCGCAGCAGTGCTGCAACCGCGTTACTGAATATTAGAACCCTGAATATTATTTCTTAAATCTTTCATATAAACCTATAAAGAATATATAGGACAGCGTGTTACTGAGTATGAAATCATACCTTTATTTGTTGATCATCTCATTTGCTGTCGCAGGCATAGCAACATTGACCTTTTGGTGGCTGTATCTACATGGATGGTAAGGCGATAATAAAACAACCCTCTAATATTACAAATGACTATAATTTTGTCACAATTTTTCCATACAATGTTAATAACTTTTTACCTTATCACTATTTATAATACATTACTTAACCTTCATTATGTTGTATTTCATTATTTAAAATTCCTCCTGTTTAATTCTAATTACATTCCACGGAGTCAGTTTCAGATGAGACATTAATATTTTAATTTAAATTAAAAAAAAATTCACAAGTCCTTATACAAATTCAAAAGAAATTTTGAAAAACGACCTTTCGAAACCTCGATTACTTTATGATACACTAAAATGTAATTCGATTAGATCTTATTATACTAAAAATATTTTTTTTCTTAATCCACTACGAGAAGTATCATTAAAAACTGTACAAACATATCAACTTTAGTGTTACAGCTAGCGTAAATATTGTAAACGGACACACGAGCCGGCCTCGGTCGAGTGAGAACATGCGACATCGCTCAACAGTGTCAATAATGTTACATTTAATTCATAATAGAGATTAAGGTAATAATAAATTGTACTTTAATAACGAGCGGGACGGAGGCGCGACGGGAGGGATACAGACATCGTTCGAGTCTGAAATCTGAATGGTGACAGGTATCCGTCGCGCCCTCCGGCGACATAATAAACAAGCACCGTAATAGAAATGCGAGTTGTTGAGTACTGGCGGCGTCGCCGGCTGCGCATCCACGGAGCTTAGATCAGGAGGCTTGCTCCGACACAACTAAACCTAACTATACGGCATAGCGCAGCCAGCCACCGAAACAACTATAGATCAACGGGAAACAACAAGCTATCAAGTATACAATAATAATAATAATAATTAAGTATCAATAAAATTGAGCTAGGAGCGAACTCCGTCGCCTCGTGTGTGCACGACACACTCCGAACGTCGACGGCGATCATCGATAAGGGAACAGAGTCGAACACGTCCCTCTCAAACAGACCTAGTCCGCTGAAGGTTGGACCGTTTGCCGAAGTCCGACCGTCGTTATTGCTTAAGAGATTATGATTAAGTTTGTTAGTTTATTGCTCGGAGTTCCTGGGTCTGTGTGTTTGGCACGACAATACTGTGGGTACACCTGCCCTAGCGTCGGCAGCAGACGGAGTGGGGATACACGAGAGGAGGGGTAGTGGTGGGGGAGACACAAGCGACTCTTAATTCACAACCAACTGCGCCCTCAGCGACATCAGACGAGCGAGCGCGACTGCCTTATGCTTTGTCAGTGTTCGCTGTACAATGACAATGGTATCCGATTAAATCATTTTAAGACGTCCGTCTATATGTAAAGGGCCTGCGGGGGATGCCCGCTCGCACCCACCACACACGAACGTGACAGCGTTCCGATAGAACACAAAGCGTCGTCAAATAAATCACATAACAATAATAATTGTACTAAGTTTTTAATATTAGAGATAAATTTTAAAATTTTATAATATTGCCACCGGTTAAGAATGAATTTTACAAAAATATACATACTGTACAAATAGTTGAGCGACTCAATTCATACACTGGTCAACCCTAACGATATTATGTCGGTGGCGCGCGCGCCCCGCACGTACACGTACCCGCGCGCGTTCTCACTGACACTACATTAATTTTATTCTCTTTCACCTATTTCCAGTATAGAACAGGGCAGGGCATATGTCGAATAAATAGGGATGTTAATATACATATTAAGGGACTTCCAATATTTTCGATGTATTAATAAAACCAGTGTTTAGTCAGTGCATAAGGTACGGGGCACGTGCGCCGGCGCACACTAACACTAACTCGTTGATAGAGACTTAGACTACCGCACACACTCACACACAAACACACATACATGCGCACAGTCACAGTACGAGCCCATCACCGGGACACCACGTAAACATTCCCCCACTCCGTGCCCTCTGTTAGGAATAATTAATTAAATTCATATAGC